AACCTATGCGGAGTGACGTGGCTCATGAAAAGAGGTGACGCTAGATGAAATAGAGAACTTCATTGGACATCTCATTTATAGAGGGATTATTCACATCACGGGTATCCATCTGTATTGAAATACCTAGAGACTCTTATCGCAAGGCAACAAAAATTTAGTGAGAAGAGTGTACGAGTACACTTGTCTCGTGAAAAACCATGCAATGCTCGTGTCTCGTGAAAAACCAGGCATGGCATGAGCAATGAAGCAGCACCTCGGTTCCGATTTTCTTTGTCTTTGTGAAGAGAAACATTTTGTGAAGAGAAACATCGATTATTTTTATACTGTTCCTGGCGCATCTATCTATGAAATGTATATTCTGAATTTTCTTTGTTTTGAATATTTTTGCATATATAGTGTTTTTGATTTCACTGTTTACCAGCTGGTGATGAAAATGTGTACGCTTTTCGCATTTGTATTCATTCTAAAATATTTTTGTTGCTGTACAAGATATATTTTTTGGAAAGAGCATTTCATTGTGCAAAGTTTGGTATGCTGCAATGCATGCTAGAGTACTTTTCAAACTTGCAAAAACGATCAAACTTCAAACTTTATTTCAGGAATGCATACATTTACATGAATAAAATTCTACAGTGCAGAGGAGGTCCCGAAGTTAGAAAACTGTCGGGGGGACCTCCGTTAGAGAATAAGTCAAGTGCGATAACAATGCAGCAAGCAGTGAAAAACACATTGTACGAATTAAACAAAGAATGGTTAAAATTTCATAACAACAAGGCAAGAAAAGTTCTGTGTAACAGCAAGTGGTATAGTGAGTAAAAGAAATACTAAAATTAGGAGTAAGGCACGACGGCAGAGTTTAGAAAACACGTTTTGTGATTAGGTACTCTTTAAACTTTTTGCGAAACGAATAGAATGTGGGACATAACTTTATTTCAAGTGGTATGTTGTTCCATACGGATACACCTGTAAATTTAAGAGTTAGTTTTCCATAATTGCTACGCACTTTAGGGAGAAGGAAATTGTGACAGGCTGAAAACCTGGTGTTATTAGTATTGACAAGATGTTGTGTGGATAGCCCTGAAACACATAGACCATGATAAATGAGGCGGTACATCAATATAGCTAACTTTAGAGTGAATAAAAGATTAATTGGAAGCACAGAAAAATAAATAAAGAGTGGCATGGAAGGCGATTGAAATGGAGCGAAGGCGATCAGACGTAGTGCCCGTTTCTGAAGATGTAGAAGGGGCTCCAGGTGACTGGCATATGTATTACCCCAGGATGAAATGCAATAGGAAAGATGGCTATGTATATATGCATAGTATAATGATAAAATAATGCGTGACTGAAAATAAGGGCGGGCTTTAATGAGAACATGAATGCCAAAAGAAGCTTTTTTTAATATTGAGAGTACATGATAGTTATATTTCAAATGCTTGTCTAGTATTACGCCTAAGAACTTCACATGATCCGATACGGAAATAATATGGTTAAGAGATACGGAAACTGGTGAGGGAAATGTGTTCTGTGCGGATGAAAACACCACAAATGTAGTTTTAGAGGGATTCATATAAAGATGATTGTTAACACACCATTGATAAATATTACAGAGATCGGAGTTTAAGCTACTTTCAAGTTCAGCAGTTGTTTTCTGGGATGTAAAAATAATAGTGTCATCGTCGTAAAGAAGACAGTTAGTATGGTTAAGGGAACTAGGTAGGCCGTTAATAAAAAGTAAGAATAGAAGAGGGCCTAAGATTGAACCTTGAGGGACGCCCATGGTAACTGGCTTAGCAGATGACGCAATGTTATTCACATAAACTACCTGTGAGCGATTTGTTAAGTAATTGCGAATGAACTGCAAAGCGGGACCCACAATTCCGAAAGATTCAAGTTTACACAGAAGGATCCGGTGGTTAATTGTGTCGAAAGCCTTCGTGAGGTCAATAAAAACTGCCCCAGTAAGTAATCCATCGTCTATGGCTTGTTTAATTCGGTCAGTAAAGCTGAGCAAGACGAGCTCTGTCGAGTAGCCAGGTCGAAAACCAAATTGGTGGGGAGAGAGTAGGTTAAATTTAAGCAGATAGCACATCAAACGCAAGTAAAAAAGCTTTTCGATTACTTTGCTAAAGAAAGGAAGTACACAAATCGGACGGTAATTGTTAGTTGACAAACGATCGCTCTTTTTGAAAACAGGTGTTATCTTTCCTACCTTTAAAGCATCAGGAAATGCACCTGCTTTGAACAATTTGTTAATTATTTCAGCTAAAATAGGAGACGGTTCACGTGCCACGAGCTTTATTTTAGACGGGTGAATGGAATCTAAGCCTGGCCCTTTGGTTTTAAGAGATGACATGATTTGAAAGACTTCGTCTGCAGATGTAGGACGTAAGTAAAAAGACTGAGGTGAACGAGATAGAATGGGAAAATGAAGGTCAACGAGTGAATCGGGGGAATTTGATGCAAAAGTATCACTGAAAGCATTAGCGATATCGAGTGGCTCGGTAAGGGAACGTCCATCAACCGTTATTTTTGATAAGCATGTGGTCTCGCTGCTGTTCAAGAATTTTTTTATTAACTGCCAGTTTTTCCTGGTATCATTACCCTTCTTATCTATTTGTTTTTCATAATACTCGCGTTTGGCCCTCTTGAGCAGCATTGAAAGTAGATTTGAATATCTTTTTAAGCGCGTTTTTAGAGAGCTGTTTGAAGGCTGAGATTTTAATTTTTTTCGCATGTTTTCTTTTTTAGATATGGAATGCAAGAGACCAGGAGTTATCCATGGGTTTCTAGGCGTGCGAAACCAATGTATGACGGTACTTGTGGTTGTGCATTCTGCAATGAATGCGCTTATTTTTGCCGAAAATTCATTAAACGCTTCCTCGCCACATTCTTCTTGTGCAACAAAGTCCCAGTCAGCATTACGCACTATCTCTACAAATTCCGCTGAGTTGAATACTGTCTTGGTATTATGCTTATTTTTTATGGGAATACAGGCATCAAGACAGAAAAATACAGGATAGTGGTCGGTGAATAAATAGTCAATAACCCCGGACTTCGAATCAGCAAAGATATTCGACAGTACATGGTCGATTAATGTGTTAGACCCATTCATATCACATCTAATCGGGGAGTGAATCAGAGATTGTAGGCCAAAACTAAGAAAACAGCGAACATATTCCAAGCAAACTGGAGTGTTAGTATCAAAGATATTTATGTTTACGTCACCGCAAATAATAATGTTTTTGTTTTCCAGGGTTAGAGTAGCAAGGATTCTTTCAAGCTGCATGCAAAACTCGGAATTCGAGGATGAGGGAGAACGGTAGATGGATGCAATGACTGTATGACGATTGTTCAATGGCAGAGCAGAAGATTCTACTTCAAGCCAAACAGACTCACAATTAACGTTGTCAAAAAACAGATCCTGATGGCGTTTGTATGGTATTGATGAGGTTATTAGGACTGCAGATCCGCCACCACGATTTGTGACACGGTGACAATATTCGGATTCATAGCCTGGCAAAGCATACAGATGCCCTTCGTCTGCCGACAGCCACGTTTCTGATAGGCAAACTACGGAAAATGAGTGTTCGACAATGGAAAGGAAGGCTACAAGGTCGTCATAATGCCCTCGAAGGCTACGAGTGTTAAAATGCACGAGCGAGAATGCGGGTGTTTGCTCAAGAAGATGTTTTGCTTCAGCGCAAGATCTTCCCAAGACATATGAAAAACAACTATTCTCGCGCAATAACGAAGGAGTTAAGGATCTCGTGACACCGAATTGGGAAACTCCGGATGCTTGTATGGTTTGAGAGTCCTGCATGCAGGGGGAACTTCTGACCGTTTATTAGGGACGAGTGTCGTCTATAGGATATTTTAATTTGGTCTTAAAGTAAGGGTGAGTGCTCATTGCCATGGTTTAACATAGACAGGGGCCCCCTTGTGATGTTGGAGAGGTCAAGCAAAGATTTTAGGCGTCGGAGAACATTTGCGGGGTGTACACAATACCCTGACTGGCAACCGGCGATGACTATTGTTTATCGCCCCTCTCCCTCTGTTGTCTGGCTGCTCTCAAGGCGGTTTTGTCTGGTTACACCAGGAATGCTTTTCTTTTTTTCTGAGGGGGACAGGCTCAAAGCACCCACATCATTTCCTTCTTCACTGCTCACGGGTCCCCCTATTTGAAAATGGTGTGTTGAGCGTCACCAGAGCTTGAGCGCACCTAGTCTCAGGTGCGGCCTCGCTGTGGGGTGCTAGTTTCTAAGGTATTTAGGAGGCCATTTCAAACTGATGCAAAATTCTTATGAAGAAACGATGCTAGCATTAATTATATGATGCATCAAAGTATCTACGATTCAATTTCAGCATTGCCAAACACAAAGCTACAAGCTACTGTAAAGAAAGTCTCAAACAAAACTTTCGCTATCTGGGGTTTTCAGGTATTGGTTAGAAAAATTAATGCGTTGAAATTCCAGCAGTTTATATGTTTGCACAAACAATAATAAGGTGGTAGTGCTTCAAAAATTTTGTAATAATTTCTACAAAATTGGTTGTTCAGTAAGTGGCATACAAAATAAAAACTTTACAGACGTGTACAGTAGCTCGGTTTTGAACTAGTACATGTTTGATATAGTTGGTTATGGCTGGACCAACAATTTATGCTGAAAAGCAGTTATTGTTTTGGTGGTGTCTCAGAGGTGTGTGGAATTACTAACTGTCTAAAAATATATGGAAAATGACAGGGGTGTTTTTTATGTTGTCCGAAAATCTGTTTGTATTTCTGTTTCCAAAACTTTGAAACTTGATTCAACCGCTTTCTTTCTGAAAGCGGTTGAATCCTAGGCAGGGACTGAACTTACGGGTACGTTTGTGTGGGTCACCGGTGGAATTCCTATTAATTCAGGCATGCGCTTTCAAGCTGCTGCTAGATGTGCTGCAAGTTATGTGGATATGCAAGGCCTGGCAGAGCTGCATTAATTTGGATGCAATACTGCTTTCAGCAAGGCATATTAGGTACTGCGGTTGCTGTTGAAGATGGCCAGGCCATACCCACTGCTGCCCCCAAAAAACGACTACGCTCTCTTGATACTTTGAGAGGGTAAGTCTCATGGCAATGCTAAAAGGCACTTCTTTCTTGACAACTCCTCCTCATAAGTAGCCTGTTTAGAACTCGAGCAAGGTCACTCATTTCAGTGTTATGTAATGAATTGCATAAAGTGCATACAGTTATGTGTATTGTGCTTAACTTTTGAACAGAACTGATGTCTGAGGATTTATTAACCCTGTGGCGACACAGGGTTAATGAATTCACTGAATCCTCTTCATCCGCTAGTCCGGCGTGACATGGCTGCACGCTGCACCACCGCAGCGTCTTCGTTGGCATGATCACAGGCTGCGCCTAGAAAAACAGGCTTCACAGCGTGGAAGAAGATTATTGCTCCGCTACCTCAGACCGGCGTAGCGTCAGAATGCTGCTGCTAGTTGAACAAACAGTTATGTGCCTTTTAGTCGACACGGCATCCTGCAACTCTTTGTGCGACAGAGGAACTCCCACTTTTCCTTCAGAAAATAAAACAAACAAAATTGGCTACCACGTTACCTGTTGCAATTAGCGTAACGCTTAGGGCTACTTTGCCTAAGTGCATGTAAATTCGAATGAATGAATGAATAAACTTTATTTAAAGTCCGGCAGTGTCCTTCAGGCGTGTGTAAACTCGAGAAGAAAAATTTAGCCCAGTTTTGAAAAGAGGTAGTAGTGCCACAGTGCTGCTAAAAATTTTCATTTTTTTTTTACGGAAGCTTCTCAATTTTCTTCTTTTTCAGATAAAACATCCGGCTATTCCTAAGGCCAAGTAATTTCTTTTTCTGGTTTTCTACAGAGGCGATTTTAGCTCTCAGTTGTTATGTTTTTGCAGGCATCTGCAGTTTAGTTTAGTTTCAGCTTTATTGAGCATTTTCTTTATAAAATTGCGGAAAGAAAACGCAAGGATGGGAGCAAAAAGCTGCTATGTTAGCAGCTTGATGAGGTTCTTACCCCTTGTACTTGGCATCAGAGGAGCCGCAAAGCACAAATATGAAAACAATTGGACATCGATTTTCAAACTTCAGAAAATCATGAAATAATACCAAACAGCACATTACATCAGAGTTTCAGGTTTACATAGAAACGAGCAAAGCACATACACAACACACACAAAAAATAAAACAATGAGACAGCACACAGTCAATTATCAAAACAAATATGCATGCTGCTTAACGGCTAACAAAATACTACAAATTATAAAAAAGATGTGTACAACATTTAAGTATATGAAAAATACAAGTCCTGAAGAGGTACAATAGAAAACACTGATAAGTGAAATGTGGTGTGTTCTACTTATAAAGAAAAAAAGAACATTCACATAACAAGCAACAATGTAGGATGATATGATTACACACATGAGCACTATTTTAGGGTGTTTTCTTTTAGACACAGTGTTCCTGCCGAACAATTAGGAGATATTGAACCATGCACGCCGCCATTCTGTATGAGGTACTTCTTAAGTTGTTTGTTACGTATATCAAAGATGGGTAATGTTTTTACTTTCTAACATGTTAAAAAAAGCAGGCATTCAGTGTTCAAGTCTTTTTTTAACCATAGTTAATTCCAGAGTATGGTACGAACCAGGAAGGCCTCTGACTAATGCTGTAATGGGATTGTGTAGCTTTCCTAAGGCTACATAGTTTAAGAAAACAAGCGTTGTATGATGAATAAATCGAAACCGTCTTTTGTGAACTTGCTATGCTTTTTGCTGAGCTTAATATAATGGTGCATAGTAATTACCTCTCGAAAAGTGAGCAGATATTCAGGGACAGCACGCGTATGTGGTGAAGCAAGCTTTACAGAAACACACCATAGCTTTGTTAGTAGTCGTGTGTGTATATCAATTTTTTAATATGAATTGAATACAACTATGCAGATTCAAATAAAAATGAAATAATGAATAATCAAGAATGAATGAGTCAATTTTATTTGAAGTCCGGCAGTTTCCTCTGGGCGAGGTGGAGGAAGAGGAGATTAACCCCTGTCCTTTCCAACCCTATGATGGCAGTGCCTCAGGTGACCGCTCAAAGTCCTTGGGCTCAGGCGGCATCTTCTGCTTGCCAGACGGCCCAAAGCTGGTCGGCCAGGCCGTCACTGGTTAGTGCCGCCTCCCAGCGGCAGCGAAGCTGACATAGCCGACTCGCAGCAGTGACTGCAGCCACGACGGCGGCGGGCCTCTGCCCTCGCGCGGTGGTATCAGCAGCGATTCGCCGTGGAGTTCGTTTTTCCATTACATCAAGAGATGCAAATTTTTTCACCAGTAATCAATCAATCAATTAATAAATCAGTCATTTTTATTCCACTTCAGCAAGTAGAGGGCATGGGAAGAAAAAGCTCCTGCGAGCTTGACTAGGTTTCCCAGCCGGTTACAGTTCAGCAAGCAGTGATAGCATGCAGAAACTGACGTACGCAAATAAAAGCAAAAAAAAGCATACGGTATTCTTATAATCACCGAAAGAACACTACATGTACATACAATTCAGGAAGAAAAGAAAACTACTACTACGTCAAAAACAAAGCTCGAAACTCGCATTTTAGTTATCTCATGAAGAAAGCATGCAGCGCTGGTCTGCAAGATGAAATACAAAAATCATTTTGTGATAAAAGGTTTAATACAGAGGGCAAAGTTATTCATAGCATCTGGGCCCCGTAGTTTGAGCGTGGTGTTCTTGTTTTTAACTTTTTCAAGAACCGTAAGAGATACAAAGAAGAATATTCAGCTAACTCTGCTAAATCGGCCAGCATTGAAATATTATTCTTTATTTCATACTGATAGTGAAGAACAAGGCGCAAGTTGTAATTTTTTACTTATCATATATTCATAATGAAAACAGTACACTCTTTAGCTATTTTAGTCTGTTATTGCACAACAAACCCCGCCGCGGTGGTCTAGTGGCTAAGGTACTCGGCTGCTGACCCGCAGGTCGCGGGTTCGATTCCCGGCTGCGGCGGCTGCATTTCCGATGGAGGCGGAAATGTTGTAGGCCCGTGTACTCAGATTTGGGTGCACGTTAAAGAACCCCAGGTGGTCAAAATTTCCGGAGCCCTCCACTACGGCGTCTCTCATAATCAAATGGTGGTTTTGGGACGTTAAACCCCACAAATCAATCAATTATTGCACAACAAAATGTGACTGTCTGTACTTGTCAGGAAGCATATGACTGTGCCAAATAGTTGAGCTTGTGACTGATGTGTTTGGTTCTGTTCACATGAAGAAACTTTTCTCTCTTTTATTTTTTGAACACTGCATTGCACAAAAAAGGAAGGGGGTGTTTGTACTAGCCATGATCACTATTGTAGTGAGTGCAAGGCCGCTAGTTTGATTCTTGCCAAGGCAGTCATATTATGATGAGGTGAAATGTAACAGTTAACACCCATGTACTTAAATATTTTAGTTATTATCAAGTGCCCTAGGTGGTCACAATTTATCCGGTTTCTCTCGGCCATCAGTTCTGGCACGTGGAACCCCGAATTTTTAGTGCTTTCTTTTTTAATTTTCACCCGTTTTCACCAGTTGACATTTAAGGTAAACGTAAGTACTTCGGGTGTTTGGGGTGGCTTTCAGCTACGGAGCAATATTCGTTTTCTGGCTTGCCTTCATTCTCTTCCTCTAGTACTGCGCGCTCACATTTTTCCTATGGGATGTAATAGTTGCAAGTCATTCATAGCCAAGGAGTACTGGGTGCAGTGACAACGCAAAAAAAGTGCCCAAGATGGTTACTGTTGTGTGACAGAGAGGCACCCGAAATAGCCATTTGTTTAACTGTGCCACAACTCAAAGTAGCCCCGCTGTGGTGAGGGGCTATTTTGCTGTCTTTCAAGCACTCATTGCAGATGGTAGTAAACTGACATTGGTAAAACGGGGAAATGGCAGCAACGGAGTCGCAGAGGAGACGCTGCCGCGCAAGTGTACACGCGTGCACGTACGATGAATTCCAAAGGCTTTGTTGGGAATGTGGCATAACCACACAGGAACTGCCAGAAATTTCTGTCGCCTTATGTGCGCTGTCATTACCAACAGAGAAATATATGTGATTACGCATACCAAAAGTGCGTGACCTTTTGTTTGCCATTGCACGGAAAAATACTTCAGTGCATTCGCATGACCTTGTCCCACCATCAAATGATTTCGGCACTATGACAGGAAATACATGCTGATATAGTGGCACAGCTGACGGGCGACTCTTCAGGCTTTTTGCAGTGTGTACGCGTATAATAATACGTCACTCTAATAGGAAAAACTGGTGCACTTATCCAGGGCACTGCCAGAATTTTTTCTGGGGGTGAGGGGAGGTATGCTTGTGCATGCATTTGTATGTGTGTGTAAATATATAGGCAAGCAAAATTGAAAAATTTCGAGGCCAAACCTCTCCCATCTCCTTGGCTATGCTGCTGGCAGTTAAACCTACTCCATCATCAACCTGAGCTTTCTTAGCTAGTTACAGACAGTGAATCGCCTACTAAGCCCCCTCCGTCAGCGGCACTCGCTATAATATATGTATTTGCTCGTGTGTTTGCCCTTGCGCAGTTGGGCCAGTGTCAGGCCAATGTAGCAGTAGCAATCTGCTTTCATTTCCACAATGGACACTCACTTTATTGAGGCGGTCCCGTGCACAAGGGCATGCACAAATGTGAGCACAAGGGCGTGCCAGTAAACGGTGTGTTCGATACATTTGCAGTACAATTAGACGAGCGGTAACAGCGCTAAACCGCCAAGCCACATGCCCTGCCGAGCAGGCATTTCATGATTTAGATTCTCACGTACAGCATGTTCATCGGCAGCTGTCGTCACACGCCTGTGCATTTCTGTGCAGGCATCGTAGCACTCACCCCAAAGTCGTAATTGCTGCACGGTCGACTGCTGATCCACTTATCGCAAAAATGCAAAATCGGAAGTTCTTTACAGTAGCGTATGCGACCAAATATTGAAGAGATCGAATAGTCGAGTTACTGTGAATAATTGAAGCTTTCAAATGTGGCTATTGAATCAAATATGAATATTACGAAGGCTATATTCGATTAGTATTTGAAACTTTAGACTATTCGCACACCCCTACTTATAAGACAAATGCGCAGTTGGTGTTCTGCCGCTGAAAGTGACGTGAATACAAAATTTTTTTCCATTACTTGAGCAGTACTCCTTTGCACTGTCAAGTTGTAGTTCTAAATACTCTTACTTACTATAGTAAGTTTTACTTTTGAAATGTCCTTGCGGTATTCTCATAATTGGTTGCCACATCCATACACTTTTGATGTCATTGTCAGATGATATCACAATCTCACCTTTTTTTGTGTGCTCAGGCTCTCACTGGTGCTCATGGTGTTTGTAAACTACGGTGGCGGCAAGTACTGGTTCTTTCACCACAGTCCTTGGAATGGTATCACTCTCGCCGACGTGGTCTTCCCATGGTTTGGGCTAATTCTAACATTTTATTTTTAACAGCTCTCTTTGTCTCGCTTGTTGTCAGTCTTGTCCATTTTCTGCTTTTTTTTTCTTAAACCTTTTTCATATCACTCTCAGGTTGGGAGATGATTTAGACTCCAACCAAAAGTTTTGAAGAAACCCGACGTTCGGAACAGACTTGGTTTCTTCCTCAGGGGTGACCGCGGAGGCTACGTAGCAGTGGCGTTTTCAAAGCACTCGCGAGGTAGCTAATGACCCCTCTCTTTCTCTCTCATTTTGCCGAGGAGCGCAGTCCGTGTGAATACACTGGGGGAAGGTTTCGAGAGAGCGGTTGATATTATGGGCTGTCCTCTGTATGTGCCACGACTCGAGTAACAACTTTCTTCTCCAGTTCGGCTCGCTTTCAAGGATGGCTGTCGCTTCGAAATTGATTTTGTGATCCAACGTCTCAGCATGTTCGGTGACTGCGCTGCGCTCTTTGTAGAACTTCCCCACATCGTTGGCGTGTTGCTTCAGTCGTTCCGGTAGGTTTTTCGTATCGCCGATATACAATGAGGGGCACTTGGCGCACGTAATTTTGTAAACGACACCGGGGCTCCTGTCCATTGTTGGCCGGTCTTTCGGGCAGGGGAGGAGGTGGCCCAGCGTACACGAAGGCACGTGCGCAATGCGAACCCCTTTCTTCTTGAAGATCCGCGCCAACACCTCGCTGGTTCCCTGAACGTATGGAACCGGTACACATTCAGGGGGCTGCCAATTAAAGTTGATTGGTGTTTTCGCATCCTTTTTTGCTCTGCGCGGCAGGTGGCGGCTCGCATGAAGTTTTTTGGGTATCCGTTTTTTCTGAGGTCCACAATTACGCGGGCCTCTTCTTTTTTTCGCTTCTTGTCATTGCACCATATGTTCTTAGCTCTCTGGAGTAGCGTGGTCACAACTGAGGCCTTGTGGCTGACGGGGTGAGAAGAATCAAATTGAAGGTAGCGGCCAGTGTGCGTTGGCTTCCTATGAACGGAGAAATCCAGGCCGTTGCGCTTTCTTCTTCGTGTTTTCTCCGTTCACAGAAAGCCAACGCACACTGGCCGCTACCTCCAATTCAATTCTTCCCACCCCGCCTGCCACAAGGCCTCGGTTGTGACCACGCAACTCGAGAGAGCTAGGAACTTATGCTCTAATGACACCGAGTGAAAGAAAGAGGAGGCCCGCGTAATTGCTGACCTCAGAAAAAACGGATACCTAAAAAACTTCATTCGAGCCGCCACCCGCCGCGCAGAGCAACAGAGGATACGAAAACACCAATCAACTTTAATTGGCAGCCCCCCGAATGCGTAGCGGTTCCATACGTTCAGGGAACCAGCGAGATGTTGGCACGGATCTTCAAGAAGGAAGGGGTTCGCATCGCGCACGTGCCTTCATGTACACTGAGCCGCCTCCTCCCCCGCCCGAAAGACCGGCCAACAATGGACAGGAGCCCCGGTGTCGTTTACAAAATTACGTGCGCCAAGTGCCCCTCATTGTATATCGGCGATACGAAAAACCTACCGGAACGACTGAAGCAACACGCCAACGATGTGCGGAAGTTCTACAAAGAGCGCAGCGCAGTCACCGAACATGCTGAGACGTTGGATCACAAAATCAATTTCGAAGCGACAGCCATCCTTGAAAGCGAGCCGAACTGGAGAAGAAAGTTGTTACTCGAGTCGTGGCACATACAGAGGACAGCCCATAATATCAACCGCTCTCTCGAAACCTTCCCCCAGTGTATTCACATGGACTGCGCTCCTCGGCAAAATGAGAGAGAAAGAGAGGGGTCATTAGCCACCCCGCGAGTGCTTTGAAAACGCCGCTGCTACGTAGCCTCCGCAGTCACCCCTGAGGAAGAAACCAAGTCTGTTCCGAACGTCGGGTTTCTTCAAAACTTTTGGTTGGAGTCTAAATCATCTCCCAGTTTTATACCCAACCAGACAGACTTCTGTCGAATGTTTATATTCAAGTCACTCTCGGGTTGTCCAAAGAGGCGCCCTTTTTCGTGAATACGCACTAAAGAAGGCGCCCCTGGAAGGCAAAGAAGGTATGCAAGATGGTATCTATGTATTCAATTATGAAGCACCAGTCATTCTTTAAAAAAGTGAACAAGGTCAAGAATTACTGCCATCTGTTTACTGGTCTGCTGCTGTGGTTATGGTGCTGGGCTGTTGACCCCAAGGTGGCGTGTTCGATCCTGGCCGTGGCAGTCACATTTCGATGGAGGTGAAATGCTAGAGGCCCATGTACTGTGCGATAGTGCACGTTAAAGGGGCCCTGAAAGACTTACTTGCATGGAATTGGCTTACTTGCTATTATACTTGCATGGAATGGGTTCACTAAAATAGCTTATTACCTGACGAATTCAATGCCGCAAAAATGTTAAGAATCCGTACAGTACGAGCCAAGTTAAAAAAGTTTGCCGCACGCTACAATCGCATTCTCTCTTCTCTCTTCCCGACGAAAGTGCTGGAAGCTGAGCAGGGAGGAATGACATGGGCAAAGAAATTACGTCACGTGCGCCTGAAGTCGTTGAGCGATTTTTCTTTTTTTTTTTCTTCGAATACGCGGCTTTTTTTCGTGGGATTGCACGTGCACACGTGGACAAGTTACGGCCTCTCGTGACGATCTCTGTAACGACCAAGCGCGTCACGTTCAAATCAGTCAACGGCTGATGGATGGCCTTCTACGAGTGATTTTTGAGCTTCCTCCGTCATTCCCTGAGAGAAAAGGAAGCGATTTTCAGCTGACTTTGATAATTTATTGTGAATTGCAGGCCACGTGCTGTGTTATAATATTTGACTCATGTGGTCTCGGGGATCTCTATAACCGATCGGAAGCGTTTTCTGGCCATGTTCAAAAAAATGTTGCAGGGCCCCTTTAAAGAACATCATATGGGCAAAATTTGCAGAGCCCTCCAGTATGGCGTCCCTTCCCACAAAACACAATAAAAGCTAGAAAACTTCTGATAAACATTCAAAAGGAATGCTGCGAAAATATACTAGAGGTCTTGTCAAAATGTTATTTAGACGTAAACAGCTGTAAAATCTTTTATAGCTGTGCTAACGCTACATTATTATATCCCTAGACAACTTCTTGCAAGAATTCTGCAAAACTTTTTGCTAGATTATTTTAGGAATATTTTTAGACATTTATTTTTTGTACAAACCAACTTGTTCAGTGTTTGCCCCAGTGAATTCGATCCATCATGCTAGTGTTTCACAATTGGTGGATTTGGCTGTTCACTGTCGAGAATAACAAGTAGAGATGCCTACATAGTACGGCATGAAATTAATTGCTGGAGCTTTGCCAACCAGCAAAATTGGTTCTCTATCTTTAAGGGGGCAGACTGGTCTTGGACATTTTTTTTTATTTCTTCAGTGATCTTGATCAAACTACACAGGATTATGCAGTTTTTTTCTGCTGATTTCAAATATATAATTACTTTTTCTGTAACTCATCTTTTTCATGAGATAACTTAAGTTCACCCCCTATTGTTTAAGGTCACCATAGAAAAAAAAGTGCGTACTAAAAGTGATATTTAAAATATGCTAACATAGACTAATGACTATGGATTGAAAGTATGCAAGAGTTTTTTGTTTTTAGGCATTTCTTGGTTATTTTACAGCAAAATGAACTGTCCATAAGGGTATCGAGGTTGCTCCTCTAGAGCTAGAAGTGACTAACCAGCCAAAGGCATTCCTTTTTTTTGGGGGGTTAACTTCAAAGTTTCTCCCCCCTTTTGCTGTTACTTCTCAAGGGAACAACACTTCCTTTGCGCAAAAGAAAAATCTGATCATGGTAGACTTAACAGCATTTTGAAATCTGTGCAGGATGTGATTAAATGTACGATCGATATGAAAGCATCAGATTCAGAAATAAATTTCAGAAAATTTATTTACGCCAAAAACCTGGTATTCGAACTCACTACCACTCAGTCAGCATACGTACACTACATCACACCACGCTACGGCATTGTCTGCAAGGAAACTGGTTTGTGTAGGCACCAAAGGATCGTTTGCACATGATGTGAAAATTCTTGCAGTTACTCCCCCCCCCCCCCCCAAAAAAAAAGAAAAGGCGCCTTTCTCCTCAAGAAAGAAAGTGCCTTCTTGCTGTGCTGTGTGCAAACTTTTGTACACATATGGTGTTTTGGAGGAGAAAAGTGCTCTTTTTGGATTGACTGTTCAGCTATACCGCTGAAATGTTTTAAGAGTATAAGCTAATCCTTTTGTATTTGATCTGGGGGTATATGGGAATACGGTGGCTCCATGGAGCAATGTGGCTTTGCTACTCTCACGAGAAGTAAGCGGGCCATTTACTGATCTCTGCCAAGACTGCACGCGTGTTAGCACCCCTGACCGTGCTCCTAATGTCAAAGTTCAAGTTATGATGCAGCCTCCCCCCATGCTTCATCACCCGACAATAGACAGGCGGGGCCTTTCTTCTCAGTTTGTGCATGCGTCGCGCATGGAGCGATGTTATTGGATGCACCTTTCATGCAACAGAGACAGCCGGCTCACTTCATCTCTGCTGCATTTGTCACAAGTGCTTGCACACATATGCTTGAAAATTCAGACGCTCTCATGGGACCACCACAAACTTTATAAATAGAGACAATGTATTACAAATCTCAAGTTTTGGTTGCTGAAACTATTGCATGTCCTAACAAGGTGTGGGTTCGAGCAAGTTCGTACATGATCTACTGCTTTTTGCGCATAGTAATTTTTTTAGACAACGGACGAAACAGACAGGGGCGGGCGTAAGCTTCCAGCTGAATTTATTATTTGTTAAGACTTTCAGGGAAAACAAATATTTGTTTCGCTAGGGCCCTCACTCGGGTGAAGATTCCGAAAGCAGGTTTTGCGAGTGCATTAGATTTTTTCTCTTTTGATTTTGCTATTTTTTTTTCTAGTAGAGCATACACTTAAGGAGGGCAATGCATTCAAATTTAGTTATCTTGCAGGTAAGGTCTTGTTATTGATGATGCAGGTTTGTGTGGATCATGGGTGTCTCACTTGCCATGACCATACGGTCGCTCCTTCGCAAGTCTGTCACCAGAGGTGCTATATTCCTGCAAATTGTCAAGCGCTCCATTATCCTTTTCGGGCTCGGCATAATGACCAACACTCTGTCTGGGAACGGTGAGTTGTCAGAGGTGTCAGAACCTCGTTTCTTTTTTGTCGCTGTAGCACTGGTAGAACTTTCAGCACAAGCTTTCGAACATAGCATTAGTTTCATTGACCTCAAGGTCGAGCACCCGGCAGCTAGCGGTAAACGGACAAAGGAGCAAAGTGTGGATGCATGCCAGTGGCACTTCAGCAGCAGTCTCTGTTATGTTTGTTCAGGAATTCACTATGCAAGGTGATGGGGGAGGTTCAGTTCATGTACAGTAAGCTCACTCTTTCCTCTTTGTATTTGAAGTTTGATAAGTCGATGGCATTTTTGATTAGCGATCGAAAAGCGTTGGTTTGATGCGATCGCAACACATTCACTTGTCAATTTTCAGCATGTTGTGAGGCTAACATTTGTGATTCCGTGCCATATTAGCCTCGCCTCTGAGCACCATTTTGTTTCATGTAGGAGGCTGTGTCTCATCTATTGTCGGTGTTGTCAAAGTTGTTGTAGCAGACTGCATCACTGAATTCAGTGCCAGTAACAGGGTATGTAATTTTTTTTTATGGTCCTCTCTCAGGAAAATTCATTCATCCAGTAATAAACATTTCCGCCCAATGTGATCACAATCACAAGGTGCATCCACTATTTGCTCACACAGTAAACATTTACACTGTCCTTTGGTTTTGTCAATAAATGAGTGGAACGCCCTTCCGTGCAAGATTGTAAATAATTAAGAATTAACTGGTTTCCAGTCAGCCTTACTATCTTACCTAAGTGAGGAATACTGCCATACTAGCTGAGTTGTCAGATTTCACGTTTGCATTTATTCTATGTATATTGTTTGTTAGATTGTACTCTGTCATATCTTTATTTATCGCTTATTTTACTCTGATGAAGCTTGTATTACTGAACTGTGTTTGCTTTTTTTGTGTTTGCATTATGTTTGCACGTTATTGCATTTTTTTCTTTTTCATGCTTGTTTCTTCTTTTATTTGGTTTGCTTCATTCATTGTTCTATGTATTGTATTCTTCCCCCCCCCCCCCCCCCCCCATGCAATGCCTGTTCTTGGGCCCTTTGGGTCAATAAATGAAATGAAATAAAAAGTGTAGTTATGAAACAATGTCGCTCCAAAACCTTAGTGACCTGGAAACTGCATGCATGGTTAATGTAAGGACTTAAACAATGTTTGAATATTAACAAAAAAATGGTCAACGGCATACAGCAATTAACGATCACATAGCCGAGAGATAATTAATGTTTTAAGTGTGAATACACTTTATAAGCGACCCCAAACCATCCGCCGCCGTCGGCGGCGTCCGCAGTCTTCTCTCTATCTTTAAAAGAAAGAGGAGTTGGCGGGCCGCAGCGCGACGCTCTACCATATAAGCCACAGACGCGACGCTGATATCGGTGTCAGTAACGCGCCTATTACCCCTTCCCACTTCGCTCGCTCCTCCGCTCTCCTCGCTCGCTGCAGCTGCGCGCGCACCCCTCTCTCTCGCGCGCCCGCCTTCTCTCTGTCTCCCGTCGAGAGCGGGTCGTGAGGGGGAGTAAAGTTAAAATCCGTTGGCATTCGCCAGTGAGTTAACGTAAACTCCCCCGTGTGATCAAATTGCGATTCCCAGGAACCATCACACCATAAAGGCACCATAGTGTGATTAATAAATATAATAGTGCGAATTAATAAATACCCCTCATAGCATCACCCCGTGTATTCGCACTTAACCATGTTCACCCTCGGGGAAATGCTTGGGAGTTTCTTCTGCTGCCAGAGATGTTACAGGTCGGTCATTTTTGGCAACTTTCAATGAAGAACTAAAAATATAAATTCACCTCTCACTTAGAAACAGGGTTGGTTTTCGTCACTGTGGCGGACAATCTTTCTATCAGTGCAGTGATCTTATTTCATGTTCTTGGCAGTTATCGGTCCCAAACAGCCAATCAGGCTTAATCTCTCGTGCATTATTTTGTGTTTACACCGCTTTGGAAATCTGCTAAACACACTGTATATAGTATATTGCAAAGCCTAAGTTCAGTCTGCCATTTGTCATACTCTTACCTGGGAAGCACGCTGAGAATGTCAGATTAGAATTTTTTTTTGCTCTATGCTTTACCTTATTTGTTAGTGTCCCAGTTTTAATAAATGATATGCCTTGCACTCTTTACTGTGACTGTTTCAAGGGCTTTTTTTACATACTGCATATGGCATTTGTTGCTGTGAGGGTCAGTAATTCATGGACAGCACATGACCACTTGCGCAACATTGTTTGGCAACAGCTTGGTCTTGCTTTATAAAACACCTCATCATCATCATCATCATAAAAAAAATTCATAAAACGGGGTCCTGAACCACTTTTACGATTTATTATCAAAGAACCTCCCCCAGGTGGTCGAAATTTCCAGAGCCGTTCACTACAGTGTCTCACAATCATATAGTTATTTTGGGACATTGAACCCCACATATCAATCAATCAATCGAATGACTTCTGTGTCTGAGTTTCTTGCCTCACGAAGTGATTTCCACAAAAATGACTTTAATCCATGAAGAATGAGTGGAGTGACAAGGATTTGTGATACGTCTCTCTCTTCTAACGAGTGTGCTGTAATGGGGATGCATGGTGTCGGCGCACCTTGGGCGTGCGGAATGAAAGTCTCTATCCCAGGGTGGTTTGCTTCCTCAAGTGTGGCTGTCACGTAAGGTCAGCACACTATACGGAGTGCTGAAGCCCGTGGCAAGAAGTGCTTCAGATCTAAATGTTGCTGCCTATTTGTGTGGGCCAATAGCATGCTGATGTCAAATAGCATGCTGATGTCAAACAGCTCTCTGAAGAGAACGAGGATGGGCCTCTGTATGAAAAAAGCATGCTTGAGAGAATAGTGACGTTGCGCTTCAAACTTTTTGCTTAGCACGATTTCCAGATTTGGCCACAGGATGTGTTTCTTCACCAACCCCGATGTGGTTTATGACCCATTAGCAGCTTTCGGCAGTTTGTTAATCAACCTTTTCTTTTTCAAACCTTTTCTTGGTTTAGGCCAAAAGGTGAACCTGCCAGCAAAGGTTCATAAAGCGATAGTGCAGAATTGCATTTTTTTTTTCGGGCAACTTTTTGCCCACCTTCATGGTGATCAGTTGCTGTAAGCTGGGGCGTATACTGTTGAAGCATTTTACGAAGATTTCACTGCTGTCAGCCTGTAGCACAAAGATAGTCTGCCTTACTGCCAAGCAAATGCCAAATTTTAAATTAGGCCTAGCACAAACTCTGCACCGATCCCAGACAAAAGTCTTTAAGGAGCCTTGTTTTCAAATAAAACAATTGTCTATACAGATGAACCTCTTTTATGAGACAACAGTGTGTCTGCAGTGAAATATAGGTTGATAAGAAAATGCATATGACGTACCCTGCTTATGAGAGACACTTCATAGTAAAGACAAGCATTGCTGCCCATAGCATACCTCTTGAAAAGGGGTTCAACTGTATTAAGTGTGATACTGTGTACTATTGAAGGATTCGTACCGTAATATGCAGATCTTATAAAAATTGTGGAATTTTTTTTAATGTCTTTGCATTTTCATGGAGGTGAAGTATCATCTTTGAGATTGTTGTCCAGGAACTTGCTGAGAGTGTTTATGATGCACTAATGCAGACAGATTTCCAGTTTCTTTTTTTTTTTTTGAGAAGCTATGCAAATAATGATGCCTAGGTGCCATTCCAAAAGGTTTCGACAATAATACGAGAACTTCCTGCTGTAATTGAGTGTATATGGAGCTGTGGCATGCACAAGCTATATTAAAAAAAGGTTTCTTTGCAGCAATCAACATATAGTAACGAAAAATTTAAAGAAATTGCTGGCTTGCTTGATGTCTCGAGCCCCGAAGTGTCTCTGCAGGGGCGTCTGCGCAAGTAGGCGTTTGGTGTGTAGCGACACCACAGACCCGATGGTGTGTAGCGACACCACAGACCCGAGCTAATGGGGGGGCTTTGACTCCCTCCCATGCCTAGCCGTGCGTGGCTTTGTCGTGGCCTGGGAAAAGGGGATCCTGGAGGTTGAGCCGACGCCGGGTGATTGGACTTTAAGGCCCCCCAGCAGAAGCAACATGCGGCCCCGGCTTCACGTAGATTGCATTCCTGGGCTGACCCACCCAGGGGAAATCGGCGGTCGCCTTTTCCTATCCACCTTCTCCTACCTTTTTCTTTCCTGTCTTCGAATCCTTTCTGAAAAGTTGCTTCCCAGTTTTCGTAGGTGGCATGGAATAATGCTGTGTTCTATATCCAGCCTTGGATATATTATATTGGGTTACAGCAGCTATGTATAGCGGACTTCTACGTTTGTTACCCAAGCATTGTAGGGTTCCCTTATTGGGCTCGATGGTGGATGGCTACCATAGCACCTGAATGATAGAACATTGAATGGGTACTCCCTTCCCTCAACTTCCTGATTGCTCTTTCAAAAGAGTGCGCACCGAAGTGACATCGAACTTTTTACATCGTAGAAAGACAATTTACCCCGTTATCTTGTAATCCACAGTGAGGAAACCAACAAGCCAGCGAGAGGTGTCTTACTCTTCCTTGTTGCCAAATGCCTCCATTAAAAACTAGGAGCAGGATATAAGATCAGTAAAATGCCAAATGAAGATCTTCTTCTCAAGATCTTTGCAAATCCCAACATGAGAAACTTGCCAGCCTTGAGAGATTTCGAGATTAGATCCCTATAACTGTGACAGCACACAAATCAATGAATATGGTTCGTGGTGTAGCGACAGATGATGACTTGATATTGAGGCAGAATTATTGGACGGATGGAAAGAGCAAAATGTGATTGATGTCAAGAGGATAAAGATATGCAGGGATAACAGAAATACCAACCAAGCACCTTATCCTTACATTCGGCTCAAGCAGGCTCCCAGAACATATTAAAACAGGGTAAATGAAAATTCGTGTCGGAGCATATATACCTAATCCCAGATGATGTTTCCGGTGCCAGAGGTATGGCCATGGATCTTTGAGTTGCCGAGGATGGCCAACG